GATAAGCGAACTGAAGGGGATCCAGATGTGGTCTTACTATGGGTCGCAGCTGGTCCAGGATGAGCCTTTCCAGGGTCTTCAAAGCAGGTCTAACTTGATACTAGCAAGTAGGGCTGCCACGACTAGTCTACTAGTAACGATTACGTCGACTATTAAAATCGTCGACGACTGATTTAATAGTCGACGCGTCGTTTGAAGCTTTGTAAGATCCCAAAAGACGCAGGAATAAGTAGTAGTATTTAAGAGTGTAATAAAGGACTGAAACAGAAGATGGCAGCACTGCATGTATAAGGATGCCAGCTGCCGTTAAACCCCGAAGAAGAAGCAGTGTCCCAGAATTCATAGCGCAGCTGCCAGCGGCAGCTAGTTAGTTTTAATATTACTCTTATTATTCTTTTTGGGTCACAAAATAAAGTTTAACATGTTTTCAGGCGAGAATGTAACTGTGTAAACCTCAAAACCTCAAAGACACCACATATTTTCAAAAGCGCTCCAACATTTTCGGAGACGTCTGTTACCCACCAGCTCGATCGTTAGCCGGGGTTCAAGGCTCACTAGAGCCTGTGAGAACACCGGACTCCCAGCAAATTGTTTTCAAACCCACTGCTGTCTTTCGCTACTCAGGTTAAACATGTAATATAAGTCACTTAGATAACTTAAAAATGTTACTGTTTGGCTTTTTTTTTTAGTATTTTATTCGTTCCTGAGTAAATCGGTTTGGCTGAGAAATAAAGTTATAGTTTTTACGCAGCTGAATAAACGTCAAGCAGACAACTGATTATCAGAAGTGTGAGATGCTTGAGAATATACTCCGGTGTCCTGTTATATTTTAGATAGCAAGGAGCAGACGAGACTGAGTTTATTAAACTCCACCGAAACAATCTGCAAATTTCATTAAACTTTAATAAACTATCATCTTGTCTTTATTTTTAGTTAGCATGTACCTTAAACACTGCAAGTTGTAAGCCAGGGCTCTAGAGTGCGACCAATTTGGTCGCAAATACAACCAAATTTTTCAGTGGTGCGACTAAAAAAAACCATTTGGTTGCACCTGTGCGACCAACTGTTCGGGTAGCAAAAAAAAAAAAAAATCTGCAACCTTCCCTGTGGTCAACAACAGACACATATTATGCCCCTATCGTGGACTAAATCAATCAGAGATAGTAAGGGGCGGGACCTCTCTGATTGGCCGTGGTCCAGTTGAAAGTGCAGGTGGGAGTGGGAGGTGAGTAGCTTGAATAAAGCGATATCAATTCATTAAATCCTGAATCGACTTTTAGATATAACTGTGTTTGGCCAGAAATGCCAGATTCTCAGATTAAAGCTCACAAAACCATTTCAACAACAACCAAACAGCAAATGAGAGCAGGTACACGGATTCCACACAAAGACGTAAACACAGAGCGGATCGACTCATCAGAATCAACTTTGTCTTTCTCGGGCAGCCCGTAGACGGACACGCTGATCAATGTCGTCATGAATTTTGCTGTTTTGCTTCCACGACTATTAAAATCACACTCCATGCACAGCTAGCTCTCTCTCTCTCTCTCTCTCTCTGTACTTCAAGAACAGTTTCCCGTCTCCAATCTCTGTTTTCTGTATTATTCATTCGCTTATTACCCACCAGTCTACCGTTGTTTACAGCGCTGTCGGCTGCTGTCTTTTTCTTTTCTTTTTTTCACTTAAATGACCTCGGACAAGAAAGCCTATTTTTTCTGTTGTTCAATACTGAAGAAATTTAAACTTTATATGCAGAACATTGTAGAATATTTTTAAGGTTATCTGCTATAAAAAGCCAGACCAGGAAAATCTCCTTCATGTTTTTCTGTGTTTTAGTCAGTACTGATAAATGATCAGAATTATAATATTTCTGACTGTCTGAGGCTAAGTTGAATCGAATCGGGACTTTGAAAACCAGAATCGAATGGATTATAGAAATCAGTGATGATACCCAGCCCTAGTGAGCAGCCTAGGCACGACAGAAGTGGATGTAGCTGTAATAGGAAAAGAACTATTGCTAACTTCTCTGTTAAGTTAAGGCCTGATCCTTCTGAAATTCATAGCCAGTGCTCTGACACGGTGTCATCAATCTTTGAATGCTGAAAAAGCACAGTGTATCCAGAAAAACACATTATATTATATAAATTATTATAAAATTTAGGCGTACCGGTACGCCCATGGCAAAAAGTTAGTCTAGAGCCCTGTAAGCTAATGATATTTATATAAGAGCAGATGCATGCTGGTGCAATAAGCTGTACGTTTTACGTTCAATGGATGCATGATCTGATTAGTCGACTAATTGCAAAAATAATCGGTGACTAGTCGACTATCAAAATAATCGCTTGTGGCAGCCGTACTAGCAAGGCATTCCTAATAAAGTGGCCAGTTAAGTGTATAAGTGAAAATATCAAAAAAGGAAAATTCTGCTTTAAAAAGAAAAAAACAAACAAACATACACTATGAGAGAACAATTAAAAAACAAATCTATAACTACATTGACAATAAATACTGAGCATTATTGCCCTTCTGGAAAATAAGTGAACATTTATAACAACAGATCACTTTACCTAAACTTAAACCAGTGCTTGAATAATAATCAGACTTACCCAATTTGTATGTTAGCACATAGAGAACTGTCCAAGGTGTGCCAGGCACTGCCAGCAGCTTCCTCCACACCCTCCACGGCCGCACAGCGTCTGCTCCCTGCCCTCCCTTTTTGCTGCCGTCTGCCTGCTGGCCCCTCACAGTCTCATCATCCAACACAGGGGCCCCCCACACAAACAGGGCTACACCAGCATACACAAATGTCAGCAGCATAAACATCCAGCTCCATCCAGCCACGTCAATCACAGCTAGCAGCCCACCTCCGGCAAACACTGACCCAGCTTTATACCCTACAACTTGTGCTGTGTTCCCAAGGCCCAGCTCCCCACGTCCTTTTAACAACCCCACTGCAGCTCCATCTACAGCAATGTCCTGAACAGAGGCCAAGGTGTTCATTGCCAGCAGGGTTCCAGCTACACCCCAAATATGTGCCTCTGGGGCCAGGGCAGCACTGGAGAGGCATGTTAGAGCAAGGCCAGAGACTGTTCCCACCAGCCAGCGACGCTTAGTACCAACTCGGTCCACCAAAGGCGCCCAGAGGACTTTGAGTACCCAGGGGAAGTAAAGGATCTTGGTAAAACCGATGCGTGTGAGAGAGTGCCCAGCTCCTCGCAGGTATACAGGAAGCAACGATGACTGGAGACCATAGGGAATGCCCTGGACAAAGTACAGCAGGCCCAAGAACACTAGTTTGTCATTCATGATCTATCCCCAAACGTGACCCTGTGGTAGAGCAGACACTGGCTTGGTCCATTGGTCAGGTCACCGTCATTGTTTTGATTAAAGGGGACTCCCTCAAATGGACTGGTTGTTCCAGGTGCGCAGGCCTGAAATAAAAGACAGAGTGTGAAATTAAAGGTTGTTACAGTGAACGTCCACAGCTCATACAGGCAGCCTTAAAAGGCTGGGTCTTCACTGCTGCTTTATTGCTTCTCTGCCCAGCTCAGTTACCAGCAACGTTGCCCCAGCTAACGAGAGCCCCCTCAAAGTCAATGACTCGTGCTAATCATGTTCAGTACTGTTGTCATTGCATCAGGTTCATCGTTTACCCTGCATCACAACTCAAACACGACTTTGCATCGTTTACATTTCACTACAGGTGCACAATTTAAGTTTGTTGCCTGGCTACCGTTAGCAAGCTAGCTTGCTCTCAAGCTAAACGTACTCAAGCGATTAGCTTAAAACATATTTCATCAGAAGTCCAGTATTATTTTTGGAATTTTATTTTGACCCGGAAGTAACTAGAAAAATATCAGCGTCTGTTCTAAGCAAAATCTTAAAGCATACTTAAAGGAAAGTTAGTTAGCTCTGTGCCAGCTAACCGGAGAGGGTGCTCCGCTTGTTTTCAGTCGGGATGAGCTTTGAGGTTGCCAGATTCTGGCCAAACAATCCCCCTTTCTGCGATGCTAAACCAAGAATAGTTTCTTCCATCATTTAAACTTGTTTTTTTTTTTTGACGTGAAATGATATATACCGGCTTTTAACCTCCTAGGACCTGGCGTCCACATATGTGGGTTATTTAGACCAAAATACTCAATTCTGCTCTACAAGGGCCTGATATCCACTTACGAGGACATTATACTGCTACTGTTCTATCAAAATTTTAAACTAATATCCTCATATGTGGCTCTTATTTTTCATAAAAACAAAAATAAGGTAAAAAAAATATCTGGTAATTCTTTGTTTTTACATTCATCGGGCCCCAATATGCCCACATATCAAAGAAAAATTGAAAATGCATGCCGTGGAAGAGTTCGGGTCTTAGGAGGTTAAATATTTTTATTTTTATTTTTAAATTTTTTTACAATTACCACGCAAGATATTTTCATTACTACCCATCTAGTAATCACATAACGGCTGAACACGCTTTCTGCATCTGGCTCGGTTTTCAAATCAACACCAGCATTTCTATATAGCACATGATGGGAAAACACGTTATATGGACTTAAGAGACTCATTTAAAATGTATTCATATTGTACTCATACTACCAATGTGTAAATATTTGGCAACATCATATAAAATGTCATGGAAATGTATGTCATGGTAATTTGGGCTTTTAGATGAAACTTTATTAATCCCTTGGCTGGGTTCCTCTGAGAAATTCAGTTTTTGGGGGTTGTTTTTTTTTTAGATTAGATGAAAATTTTAATAATTTCTTTGAACTTTTCTTTTTACAAAGTGGATTTATTGCACAGAATACATATTTAATGACTTAGATCAGAGCATGATGCCACCACCACCATCATGCTCTTAGGTTTGAAATCCTCACATTTACTCCTCCAAACAGATCTTGTAATTATGGCCTGAAAGCTCATTTCTCATATAATCATAAAACATCTCCAAAAGACATTTGGCTCGTCCGTGTGGGAAGCTGCAAATTTCATTCGAGGTTGTCAATTCTGGAACAAGGGTTGTTTTGGTGGGCACCCTTGTAGTTCATGGTGATGTAAAACTCACTTCACTTAGGAGTGTGACGCTGGCATTCCAGCAGTTTCCATTTCATGACAAGCTTGACCCTTGATGGTTCCTAAACATCCTAACCAATTTCCTGTCATCTGTGGGTGACAGTTTGGGTCTTCTTCCAGACCTTGGTAAAGTGTTGATATATCCAAATAACTTGTACTTATGTATAATAACCAATGATAAATTATCAGGGTTCCCCCCCCCCCCCTTTAGAAATAGCTCTAACAAATCTGGTTTATGCTGGCAAAATTAAACTACTAGTTGTCAATCACGATCAAGTCAATAGGCCTTGGCTTTGTCCAGTTAAAGACATTGTAGAACCTTCAGCACAACTCCTTCCACCCTGGAAAAATAACAATTCAAAGACATTCACACCCATACAGGGCTCTAGACTAACTTTTTGACATGGGCGCACCAGTACGCCTAACTTTAAAAAGTTAGGCGTACCGGCACAAAAGTTAGGCGCACTCAAATTTTTCAACCGCATCGCTTAACACCGCAGTTTTACATGTGCACTTTCTTTGGGGGGGAAGTCCACACAGACAATATTAATTTCTAAATTATTAACTAACAAACTTGTGCTTAAAGTGCTTTGTCAATATTGTAGAAAATGTTAAACTTAATCATCATCTCGGCCTCCTCTGACGACCTGTTTGCTGTTGTCTGCTGCTGAAAGGCCGTGGGGAGAGGGGACACTTGGGCAGTGCATTTATTGCAGCATATAATGTGTTTTCTGGATACACTGTGCTTTTTCAGCATTCAAATATTGATGGCACCGTGTCAGAGCACTGGCTATGAATTTCAGACAGATCAGGCCTTAACTTAACAAAAAAGTTATCAATAGTTCTTTTCATCTTTTCTTATTACCCACAGCTACATCCACTTCTCTCAGGCCTAGGCTGCTCACTAGGGCTGAGTATCATCACTGATTTCTATAATCCATTCAATTCCGGTTCTCAAAGTCCTGATTTGATTCAATTTAGCCTCAGACAGTCAGAAATATTATAATTCTGATCATTTATCAGTACTGATACACATGAGACTTCATCAGAATTGTGAACATTACAGCAGATGCTTTTGTGTCAAAGTAACTGAGAATAAAACACAGGAAAACATGAAGGAGATTTTCCTGGTCTGGCTTTTTATAGCAGATAACCTTAAAAATATTCTGCAATATTCTGCAAATTTGCATAATTTTAAGAAATTTAAATTTCTTCAGTATTGAACAGCAGAAATTAGGCTTTCTTGTCCGAGGTCATTTAAGTGAAAAAAGAAAAAGCGCTGTAAACAACGCTAGACTGGTGGGTAATAAGCGAATGAATAATGCAGAAAACAGATTTGAGACGGGAAACTGTTCCTGAAGTACAGAGAGAGAGAGAGCTGTGCAGGAAGTGTGATTTTTTATCGTGGTGGAAGCAAAACAGCAAAAGTCAGAGGGAATTCATGACGACATTGATCAAATGTGAAGCGCAGTTTGCTGCTTCTTTTGCTGCTGGCTCGGTGAATTTTGGTTGGAGAGAGACAAAACCTGCAGTTCAGAATCAGCGCAAAAAGACACAGCGCGGACCCGAAGAATCGATAAGCTCCGACAGCGTGTCCGTGTTCGGGCCGTCGGGTGAGAAAGCCGAGAAAGACGAAGCTGATTCTGATGTGTTGGGTCCGCCCCGTGTTTAGGTCTTTGTGTGGAATTCGTTAATGAATTGATATCGCTTTATTCAAGCTACTCACCTCTCTCTTCCACCTGCACTTTCAACTGGACCACGGCCAATCAGAGAGGTCCCGCCCCTGACTATCTCTGATTGGTTTAGTCCACGATAGGGGCAAAATGTGTGTCTGTTGTTGACCACACGGAGAGTTACAGAGATTTTTTTTGTTTGTTACCGGAACAGTTGGTCGCACCTGTGCGACCAACTATTTATTTTTAGTCGCACCACTGAAAAATTTGGTCGCATTTGCGACCAAATTGGTCGCACTCTAGAGCCCTGCCATAATGTATGCATGTAAACCTTGACCACTTATTTGTTCTCATGTCTGATATGTGTTGTATGAATTTATAAATAATCAAGACCACTTCAGTAAAAAAAGCTTTTATTTGCAGAACATCAAATCTCCTTCAAGAGCAATGGTAACATTAAGCTATTGGCATGTGGTGATCTGGATACATGAGCTGCACTGTGATCACATCAGCTTCTCTTTGGACTTTAGTTATAGAACCTAGTAAGTGCAAGCAAAGTCTGTCTAGAACATAGATCTTCTGGCATAATGCTATGAGATCTGCGCTGAAATAAAAAGGATTTCTCAGAAAGGAAACGGCCTATCTGCACTGCTCTGCCAACTCCAGGTTAGTATTCGCTCATTGCCAATATCATCTAACTATCATGACGTCTTGCAAAGAAAGACAGTCTTGTCAGGTCTCCACAAGCACAAAAGGCACATTATGTATTTAAGAGATAACAGGCGATTTTCCACAGTTGTACACTGGCATGGATATTCTGCTGTATGAGCTTTGATCCCAGCGATAGGCTGTTAGTTTTCACCCCCACAGAGAGCGAGCAGAATCTTCTCGTAATCATCTGCGGTGTCATCCTAAATGGGGAAAAATACAAGTTTGGTTTTTTTGTTTTTTAAATCCATAAATCTTTACATGTTTTCTTTTGACATTTTTGTACCGTCATATGCACAATCCATTCAAAACTGAACATCTGGAATGGGTTTAACTTTTAGATGTTTGCTCACCAGAATGTCCTGGTAGAGTGTTTTGCCATAATTCTTCTTGTAGTCTTCCTTGATCCGCTTCATGTCAATTTCAGAGCGGCTCACCATGATGCGGGTCAAGATAGGCTTGCGGGTACCTTTACCCTGAAGGGCAGAAAAGAGCCAGTCATGAAACATTTATATTATAACATACCATTGATTATATTATATGTGGAAAAGATAACAGAAATATGAGATTAATGGGAATTTTTAAAAGTAAAAAGGTTTTAGATTTGACTATTTATATTTAGCGAAGAGCTGTTTTGCTACAGAACTTCAAGAACTGGACAAATTATAGGGGATTTACTCTCTATATCTATGCAACTGACTAAATGAAAGTCAGTTTGTAACTTAAAAACATCCACCTAGTTATCTTGTTTAGTAAAAACTGAGATCAAACATGTCAAAAGGAGCTCCAGTGGGCAAAGGAATACCCTTTTTCAGCATTATGATGCTACTATGTTCAGACATTCACCCAGTGATAAATGTATTAAATGCATGAAGACTCCTTTGTCCATGGCTCAAGTTTCTCATGCTGGGACACTTATCCAGTTCATGGGAGCCTATTTCCGACACTGACTGAGTGGTTTATTATTTATGTGACTTAGCAGATTAGATCATTTATGTGAATTAGCCAAAGCAGCCCAGCATTGTTCACCAACAGCTTGCCCAAGGACATGTCAATATATAGATGCAGAAACTGGGGACTGAACATCCAACCTACTAAATAGCAGACAACTGGCTCTAAAACCTGAGCCACATTGACAGCCAATCAGTTTTTTCAAATGGCAATTGCCATCATCCAAATTAAGGAGTACTTCTACATTAATCCACTTGTGAATTATTTTCCCTGTAATATTCAGTTGTTCCTGTAGCAGCCTACATATACTGTACCTTCATGGCCAAGTAGAGTTTCTCTGCAAAGAAGGCAGTTCTGCTTCCAGCACACTTCACTGTGAATATATATATTTTTAAAGTTTTAATCCAGTCCATCCAGAATATACTGATTTAATGCTAAAGTAATAGAGTTTAGAGGTTTCGTAAACAGAGGTTTGACTTTACCAACTGCTGTGAGGCAATTCTCAATATCTCCCTTCAGTTCGAGGTCAAGGGCTTTGGCCACATCCACTTTGCTGTACTTTTTGTACCTATCAAACACTGAAATAG